CGATTTGCCTCCCACTGTCTTCTTGGCTTATGAGTTCTCGCTCTCGGAAAACCCCTCCCCTCGCAACGAAGACAACGTTGTCACTCGGTCTGTAGAAGAGGTATCCAAAGGATTTCTGTGGGTAGCCGATGAAAATACATCGCTCACTACGAGGTTCGAGCTTGTCGTGAGTTTCTCGTCTTACGAAAACCTCGCAACCCCAAACCTTGATATGTGCTAACGAGGGAGCTTTCCCTGTCCACATCTCGTGAGGTGTTTTGGCAACCTTCTTCGTAGGTACTAAGTTAAGGATATGGGCGGCAGTCTCTAAGGCATACCCCCAGAATGAGATAGGTAGTGAAGCACGACTCATCATGGAACGAACCATGTCTAGCAAGGTTTGATTACGCCTCTCAGCTATACCATTCAATTGTGGTGTCCTATGTGGTGTCAATTGGGAAACTATTCCACATTCCTTGAGGTAGTCGTGGAATTCAAGACTTAGGTACTCTCCACCTCGATCAGATCGAAGCATCTTGATTTTCCTGCCCAATTGATTCTCCACTTCTTGTTTAAACTCTTTGAACTTTTCAAAGGTTTCTGACTTGTGCTTGATTAAGTAGATATACCCATATCTGCTATAATCATCTGTGAAAGTCACATAGAAGCGATTCGCGTCCCTTGTGGTGGATCTAAAGGGTCCACATACATCTGTATGTATGAGATCCAATAAACCCTCACCCCTCGCACAAGTGCCAGTGAAGGGTGACTTGGTCATCTTTCCAAGTAAACAAGACTCGCACACGTCATCGTCCCTAAGGTCGAATGACTCCAACACTCCATCCTTTTGGAGTTGGGCTATGCGTTTCTTGTTGACATGTCCAAGATGACAATGCCATAAACATGCTTTATCCATACTATTGGAAGAATCCACACACAACACATCATTTCCTAAGTTGTCTACAACCATCACAATTTCATATATTCCATTACAAGACAATGCTTCAAATATAAAACATTATTAAAATAAGCATAAATAGAACCCTTTTCATTATCAAACGAATATCTAAAGTCTTGTTTATATAAACCATGAAATGAAATGATGTTTCTAGCCATATCTGACAAATAGCAACAATTATTCAAATTTAAATCTAAACCATTACTAAGCACTAAGGAATAAACTCCAATCTTGGTCACATGCGACGATCTTCTGTTTCCCATGATCAGATTCATCCTTCCACGCTCCAAATCCCTATTTCTTTTAGTCCCTACAAGTCAGAACATATGTGAAAACCACATCCTGTATCAAGAACCCAAGAAATAGCATGTGACAAACTGTTAGATTTAATTGTGTAAATACCTGCGAAAGATGGCTTGATCTTCCCATCCTTGATGGCTTGCAGATATTCTGGGCAGCTTCTTTTCCAATGCCCTATCTTGTGGCAGTAGTGGCACTCTGCCTCCTTAGGGTTTGAGTTGGGTTTAGCAGAACCAACTTTGGTTCCACTAGAAGAGGTGTCATCTCGGGACTTTCCCTTGTGGTGGCCCCTTGAGGAGGCCTTCCTCTTCTTACCCTTCCCTTACCCTATTGCCAAGACAGGGGCAACAACTGGAGTGGGAGGTGATGCAACAGATTTATCCTTGAGGTTGCTCTCAACAGTCCTCAACAAGCCCTGAAGCTTGCTCAAGGAGACCTCTTCCTTATTCATGTGATAGGTTATGCGGAACTGGCTATAGCAGGAAGGCAATGAGTGAAGGATAATATCAATTGCCAGCTCTTCATCGAAGTTCACATTCAACTTCAGCAGACGATCAACATATCTCTGCATCTTTTGCAGATGGGCAGTAAGAGACTCTCCATTTCCCATTTTGGTAGTGATCATCGAAGTGATGATCTCATACCTCTCTTGCCTGGCGCTCTGGTGGTAGCGTTCCAGCAGATCCTGATGCATCTCATAGGGGTACTTGTCCTCATAGGACTTTTGAAGTTCAGCAGTCATAGTCGCGAGCATGATGCAATGGACTTTCGTGGCATCACGCTCGTGGGCCTCGTAGGCCGCGATCTCATCGGCAGTAGCAGTTTCGATATCAATCTCCTTAAGCTTCTCGTCGAGGACATATTCTTTGTCCTCGTAGCGAGTGACCATGCGAATGTTGCGGATCCAATTACTGAAATAGGTCCCATCGAAGATCACTTTCCCACACAAGTTCATGAGTGAGAATGAACCAGAGGAGTTTGACCCAGAAGCGTTGTTGTTTGCGTTCGACATCTGAAAAGGAAAAAGGAACAAAGTTTGATTAGAAATGAATTTCCCAAATTAATCACCCAAATGAAAAATTAGGGCTAGGAACCAACAACATTGTTCACAAATTAGAAGAGGGATGCCGTAATCTAATAAGTAAATAATTTGAAGGCAAGTGAATGTCGATTCACTAATTCTCCACCATGAAAAACGAAAAGGAAATTAGGTTTTAAATGTATTGAAAAACTCCTAGATCTTTTGAGATACATTGAACTTTTCAATGGCATGTTTAAATCTCGATATGCCCCTCTCGTTTGTGACTGGGATGCCGAGGATCACAAAGTGGGTGTGAATAACCATGCAAATGTACATGGTGCCCTCATTGTTACAGTTACCTATTCGATGTGCTGGTTAACCACACACGCTCCATCGAACTATAACAAACAATGAGTCACCCTTTGCCACCTTTGCTTAGAACCCAATTAATGTGCCGGTTAACCACACGCGCTCCATTAATGTCTTAGCAAGGGTACAAAGTGTAATTTCATGGGATTGCATCAATTCACTTTTTCCTAAAGTAACTAAGATTGGGAATTTTGTAAAAACGTTTAGTTACTTTATATATATTCATTATACTTTTAATGAGGAAATGTTTGCCCGATCCTACCCGTTCAGCTAACGACCCTCCACCAATCAAGGAAGCGGTGGGTGAGAATGGACACCCATTAAATGACCATTTTATAGGCCATAACCTTATACCCCCTTATATATTGGCTTCATGAATGAGGCCTACTAACGGTAAGACTAACATTTAAGTTTTATATATATATATATATATATATATAATATATATATATATAATATATATTAATCTTATATATTATAAGTATAGGGTTGAAATTTAAAACTTGTAAAATTCTAGGGTTTGAAATTTAAATTATCCAAATTAAACTTTTAATCACAAAACTTAAAATTTCAAAACTTGAGGACAAGTTTTGAACTTTTCAAAACATAAAGGATCAAATAGCAAATAATATAAATCAACTAATTAATTTAATGATTATCTAAATTTGACCTAGTCAATATTACTTGCAAGACAATTTACCAATTAATTCAAATAATCAATTATTATCATATAAGGAAATTATTATTCAATCAAATGGTAATTATCTTTTGTTTGGTCAAGGATATACTCAAATATATGATAAAATTCAGATTTTAATGACCCAAAACAATTAAGGCAAGTATCCTCAAGCAAAACAGCAAGAAATCCCGAAATCTGCTCTGACTGACGCTCGGACTCGCCGAGTCCCCATATGGACTCGCCGAGTTCATCCTACTCGCCGAGTCCACAATGGGACTCGCCGGGTCCACCAGTCAGGGGCACAAAAAACGATTTTTCATGTAAAAAGCAATCAATCAAAGCATCAATTCAATAGAAATCAATTTAAGCTCTGATACCACTGATGGGTTTGAGCCATAAGAACTTTCCTATGTGCACATGCAAACCCTAATGCTTGGATCTAGGTTTCTCTAATTGAACATGCAATGTTTCCAAGGCTTATAATGCTAGATCTAGTGTAAACAATTGAATCATAACATATGAATTCAGATCCAGAAGAATACCTTAAGTTGCTTGCTTGAATCTTCTTGTTCTTGGAGCTTAGAGTCACAATTGTCACTCCTCTAATGGCTTACAAACACCAACTAGCAAGAGGATGATTTGGAGAGAGAGGAGGGATGAGAAAATTGGCTCTAGGGTTTCCAATCTAACAAGAGTGGCCGATTTCCCTCATCCATGGGGTCTATCTATACTATGAGCTACTAGGGTTACATCCTTAACCCTAATTGAATAACTTAGGCCCTAAGCAATCCAAAGATCCTTCTAGATTAAGGCTTGGACGAATTCAAGGTTGTCCATAACCCTAAATTCGGCCACATTTAGATCTATAAGGATTCATAGCCCAAAACTCAACTATCACACATTTGACAGTTTAAGCCTCTTTATTCAATTAATCTCTTTTAGTCATTTAATTCTTAATTAATCTATGACTAATATTAATCAAATAATATTATTATTCCTTTAATATATTATTCTCATAATATATTAATATAATATCTCTTCTCTCTTTATAAATCACCCTGTCAAGTTGTTATGGTGAAGGCAACCCAAAAGGACCATGCACAACCTGGTCAAGTACTTACCAAATATAGTTACGAGCTTAGACACTAATCCAACAATTCTACCATTAATATGAAAGTGGTTGAATAATGATCGTATTACTCGAGTTAATTACATATTTATAAAAACTAAATGACTATTTGATATATTTTTTACCGGGTCTGATAAGAGGATAGATCTGACTCAAAATGTTTGATATCACATTCAAAAGTCTCTTATGTGGTCATGAGCAACCTTTTACTCGGTCAGGCTGTGTCTAACTCAATTAGATCTCTCATTTGATGAGCAACTATATATTTGTTTTCTTTAAACAATATTAAATTCATTTAGAAAAGCATGAATATTTTATCTAATGAAAAAATTATTATTATTGAATAAACAAATATTTAACAAGTGACACCTAATTGTATATTTTATCTAAAATAAACTTTATTATATAAATTAACAAAATAAAAAACTATTGCATAAATATAAAAAAGAAAAAAAAACAAGTTTGGGCTAAAAAGTCACACACTCGTCATTGGCAGCTCGCAGCATACAAAAGAGGAGGGAAGGCCTCCTTTCAATTCAAAGTCTCTCTCTCTCTCTCTCTCTCTCTCTCTCTCTAGCATTTGTTCTGCTTCATTTTGAAGCTGTCTTATTTATTATATTTACTTATCTTCCTTCTAGAATCTGTATATACCTTCCTCCTCCTTTTGCACCCTCTAGGGTTTCGTCCGTACACTGCTTCCTTCAACGGGATTTTTCTGCAAAAAATTTCCACTCGAGGGTTTCATCTAGGGTTTTACACTTGCACAATTTCTCTGCGATGGCGGCGGAGAAGCTTAGGGATTTAAGTCACCCGATTGATGTTGCTTTACTTGATGCTACTGTTGCTGCCTTCTATGGGACCGGATCTAAAGAAGAGGTTTGTCGCAATTCCTTATCCCCTTTCCCCTTACTTCTATAAAACTAGACGAGGAATGTGATGCCCTGGAAACAATTTTTCATTAGTTTACGGATTCGGGGTTAATTGGTGACTGTTTGACCATCGTACATTCAACTCTAAGCCGTAAACGGACTTTTTGACCTTGTTTGTACAGTATTTCTTTTACCAGAGTGATGAGAAGTGCACCTATTTCTCGTTTTGCATGAAAGATATATAGTAGGAAGTGCTTAAGAACAAACTCGAGACCTGATTGTGGTAGCAATAGTATCAATGGCTCAATTCAGCACAAGTTTAACGTTTATCTGGCTTTTGCATGTCACACCTATGCTAAATTAGGGTTGCATCCTTTTAAACATCTCGACCCAGTTTACCGGGTTCATATATTAACATTTGCATCATCTCAAGTAGTACCATTTGAAGTGACTGATAGACTCATGCCAGCTGGTTGTATAGCAAGTTATATATATTTTTTACAATGATCATTGATTACAAGCTTTTGATTATGTGGACTTGTTGCTTTGCTTATATCTTTCTGATTATGTTTTTTTATGCATATATGTTAATAACACAGAGGACTGCTGCTGATCATATATTGAGGGAATTACAAAACAATCCAGATATGTGGCTTCAAGTTGTTCACATTTTATCCAATACACAGAGCTTGAACACCAAATTCTTTTCTTTACAGGTGACTATCTCTATCTTCTGGGATATTCTTCTCACAAACATTTGTTTTTATTACAAGATTACTGGTTTTTTGTCTACAGGTTCTTGAGGGTGTTATCAAGTATAGATGGAATGTATTACCTGTTGAACAACGGGATGGAATGAAAAACTACATCTCTGATGTTATTGTAAAGGTATGGAATTCTATAGGTATTTTTTTTTGATTCTCTTTATGTTATATTCATAAAATTTAAAAGTAAATATATTTTTTTTTCAGCTTTCGAGTAGCGAGGGTTCTTTCCGCCAAGAAAGATTATATGTTAACAAACTGAACATTATACTAGTTCAGGTGAGCTGTTGTTTGCTTCCGTTTTAAGTTGAATTTTGCTATTAGAAACAATAATGAAATGACCTGCAAATGGATATGCAGATTTTGAAACATGAGTGGCCAGCCAGGTGGCGAAGCTTCATTCCTGACCTGGTCACAGCAGCAAAAACCAGTGAAACAATTTGTGAGAATTGCATGGCGATACTGAAAGTATGTTTGATGTATTCTTTTTACTTGTGTCTTGTTGCTTTTATGCTTTCATATGTGGTCTGAATGTCAATCTTTGCTTTCCAGCTTTTAAGTGAAGAGGTCTTTGATTTCTCAAGGGGTGAAATGACTCAACATAAAATCAAGGAGCTTAAGCAATCCCTCAACAGGTAATGGTGACCTTGATATTCTTTCTATTTAGTTTGGCTATTGATTTTACATCTAATCCTACTAAAATTTACTTGTTTGTTGTGATTGGTAACAGTGAGTTTCAACTCATACATGAATTATGCTTATATGTACTATCAGCATCTCAAAGAACAGAGCTAATCAGAGCTACATTGGCTACATTACATGCTTTCCTTTCATGGATTCCTTTAGGCTATATCTTTGAATCACCACTGGTATGCTATTTTCCTTTCTGGATTATATTTTCATCATGGAAACTATAATTCCACTAACATTTTCTACTGCATATTACAGCTGGAGACACTCCTCAAGTTTTTTCCTGTGCCATCATATCGTAATCTGACCCTTCAATGCTTGACAGAGGTAATGCTAGGCACATGGAGAGGCATATATGTTCTTTTTAATGAAGAATTCAACAAACTCATTTTTGTCATTCATTTATTGGCACAGGTTGCAGCCTTGAACTTTGGGGATTTCTACAACTTGCAGTATGTTAAAATGTACAACATATTCATGGTCCGGTTGCAGGTATGTGAGAAAAACTTTTTATGTTGTGTTTTGCTCTATCTTTGTGCTTATGTTCTTTTGAATTCTTTCTATTGTATGTTTTGTTTTTTTGTAGACGGTTCTTCCAACTACTACAAACATACCAGATGCATATTTAAATGGCTCTAGTGACGAGCAGGTGATTATAGGGTTTAACAAGAAATCCATGTTATGTTTAACCTTAATCGATTCGAACAAAGTGTGACTAATAGGTTTTGTTCTTCTTTTCCCTCTTTTCAGGCATTCATTCAGAATCTGGCATTGTTTTTCACTTCATTTTACAAGGTAAGTATTTATATTTGTCTCAATTGTTTCTCCTTGTGATAATTTTATTACATTAGATGTAATATGGCACTCTGCATGCAGTTTCACATCCGTGTACTCGAATCCACACAAGAGAACACTGCTGCGCTTTTAATGGGCCTTGAATATCTCTTGAGCATTTCTTATGTTGATGATACAGAAGTTTTCAAGGTATGACGCCCATTGTTTTTGCTCTCTCTTTACAAATGAGACAAGATAAAGATACATTCTGGTTTATATAATATTTTCTGTCAATGTGTTTGAACAGGTTTGCTTGGACTATTGGAATTCCTTGGTGCTAGAGCTTTTTGAGGCAAATCACAGTCTTGATAACCCTGCAGCAAATGCAAACATGATGGGACTGCAGGTAGATTATGTCTCCACACATCTTATATCCTACAATCATGTACTTAAGTTGTTGATTCTTTTTCTTTTTGGCATTTGTTTTCTGATGAATATTATATTGTTCTGCTCTAGATGTCAATGCTTCCTGGTATGATTGATGGTCATGGTACAAAACTATTGCAAAGAAGACAACTTTATGCTGACCCCATGTCTAAATTAAGACTGCTTATGATATCCCGCATGGCAAAACCTGAAGAGGTTCTGATTGTTGAAGATGAAAATGGGAACATTGTGCGAGAAACCTTAAAAGACAATGATGTCCTTGTTCAATACAAGATAATGAGAGAAACACTTATCTACTTGTCACATCTTGATCACGACGACACTGAAAAGCAGATGCTGAAAAAACTAAGCAAACAACTGAATGGCGAAGATTGGACATGGAACAACTTGAACACATTATGTTGGGCAATAGGATCCATATCCGGGTCCATGATGGAAGATCAGGAGAATAGGTTTCTTGTGATGGTTATTCGTGATCTACTAAATCTCTGTGAAATCACAAAAGGAAAAGACAACAAAGCTGTTATTGCAAGTAACATCATGTGCGTTTTCTACTTACTTCCCTAACAGACATTGCATTTAAACTATCTAATTTTTGGTGCACTGTCAGGTATGTTGTGGGACAATATCCAAGATTCCTCAGGGCCCATTGGAAGTTCTTGAAAACTGTTGTAAACAAGTTGTTTGAGTTCATGCATGAAACACACCCCGGTGTTCAGGATATGGCTTGCGATACATTTTTGAAAATTGTACAAAAATGCAAGCGCAAGTTTGTAATAGTACAGGTAATGTATACTTTGATCTACTTTTTTGATATTTTAATTGTTTTGTTGTATTCCATCTTCATAGATGCAAAAGTTGATATTTTATTTTGTTAATAATGTAATCTTTTTGTTTTTCAAGGTTGGGGAGAGTGAGCCATTTGTCTCAGAACTGCTTACCACCCTCCCAACAACCATTGCAGATCTTGAGCCACATCAGATACACACATTTTATGAATCTGTAAGTCTTAAGGGGCTAGTAGTTTTTTCATTAAGTCATGTATGGGTAAAGTAGATGAATGGGTGATGACGTCTGTCTGGATAAAGTGCTTTATACATAAGGAGGTGTTTTTTCTGGATTGAATGGACTCACATATTAGGCTAAATAACCATTTTACCCTTACATTCCAAGACACAATATCAGTGTGAGAGTTGGAATGGAAAAGAAGGGCTAAGAGGTAAATGGATATCATAGTATCTTAATACATTAAGGTAAGTTTTTGGCTTAACCTGTTAAGTCAAAAAGGAACAACCATACCATGTATAGCTGTCCAGATTAAGTGCTTAACCCATTAAGCGTTGGAAGTTAAAAAATCCTCATTACATGATATCAACACACTTATAGATTATAAATAATATTATTGGAGGTGTTTGTAGTAAACTTTTGTTGCATGTGGTAGGTTGGTTGTATGATTCAAGCAGAATCGGAGGTATCAAAGCGGGAGGAATATTTGCAAAGGCTGATGCATCTTCCGAATCAGGCAGGAAACTGACCCTTAGTTATTTTTTGATTATGGATGGAATCATGATATGATGAGTTGTTCGTTAATGCAGAAATGGACGGAGATTATAGGACATGCACGTGGCAGTGTGGATTTCTTAAAAGATCAAGATGTGATTAGGACTGTGCTTAATATATTGCAGACAAACACAAGTGCTGCCACTGCACTCGGGACACATTTTCTTTCTCAAATAACACTCATCTTTTTGGACATGCTTAATGTCTACAAGTATGTTTATGTTTAACAATCCAGTACCTTTTTTTTTTTTTTTTTTTTTCAAATGGTCAAATCAAACACCAGTTTACCAATCCGATATTTTCATGTGTTGCTCAGAATGTACAGTGAGCTTATATCATCCAACATTGCTGAAGGAGGGCCTTTCGCTTCTAGAACTTCATATGTGAAACTTCTAAGGTCCGTGAAGAGGGAAACACTGAAGCTGATTGAGACTTTTCTTGATAAAGCTGAAGATCAACCACAAATAGGAAAGCAGTTTGTTCCACCAATGATGGATCCGGTTCTGGGTGATTATGCTAGAAATTTACCAGATGCCCGTGAATCAGAAGTTTTGTCTCTCTTTGCCACAATTATTAACAAGTATGTATGTTGTTTGCTTGCTGTTTGGCTTTCTTGCACTTCTGTAGTTTGACTTTTCTTGAGTCCATTGTAGGTACAAGGGTGCTATGATTGATGATGTTCCACGTATATTTGAAGCTGTTTTCCAGTGCACACTAGAGGTTAAAACATTTTGCTTCACGGTTTTTTTTTTTTTTTTTTTTTTTTTTTTTTAATAGTTGTATTTGTTTGTTGTAACAGATGATAACCAAGAATTTTGAAGACTACCCTGAACACCGGCTCAAGTTTTTTTCCCTACTTCGGGCCATTGCCACGCATTGTTTCAGAGCTTTAATCTTGTTGTCACCTGAGGTTTGGTTTGGCTTTTAAGACTTGTTATTTAATAAAAAAATAAATGATTTTAACTTTGTGTTTTTTTTTTTGATGTATGTATGTATGTATGTATCAGCAATTAAAGCTAGTTATGGATTCGGTGATGTGGGCTTTCCGACACACTGAAAGAAACATAGCCGAAACAGGGCTTAATTTGTTACTAGAGATGCTCAAGAACTTTCAGGTTGATTACTTGATTTGATTAATAATAATATTTAAATCTTGTATGTAAATAAATATTGTGTGATTTTGTGATATGGCAGGAGTCGGAGTTCTGTAATCAATTCTTCCGGTCATACTTTGTGGTGATTGTGCAAGAAATATTTGCGGTGTTAACGGATACATTCCATAAACCTGGTTTCAAGTTGCATGTTTTAGTGCTTCAGCACTTGTTCTGTCTGGTACTTTTATTTATTTATTTATTTTAATACATTTTCTGTAGGACAAATAATAATTTATCTATCTATCTATCTTTCCAATAAAATTGCAGGTGGAATCTGGTTCGTTGACTGAACCTTTATGGGATGCCTCAACAATTTCATATCCTTATCCTAATAATGGAATATTTGTTCGGGAATATACCATTAAGCTTCTATGTGGTTCTTTCCCCAATATTCCAGCATCCGAGGTAAATTAAAACTTGGATGTTTTATTTATTTGTTGCAAAAGCAAGCTCCATCAAGTCTATTTTATTCAGCTCACATCTTCTTCAGTTAAACCCCTAAAAATAAATCGTCAATCTAAAAACAAATCCACTCAGTACCCACCCATAAGATTTTATTGTTTTTTATGGTTTCTTTTGATTTTAGGTTTTGGGTTTTTTGTTAAATGGGGGGTTTAAGATTGAGGAATTTTTGGGGGAGGGTTTGAAATTTGAATTGAAGACTAGAGGATGAAAGAGTTTGTTTATAGAGCTTTTTTCCAACACGGACAAGGAGGAACCTTGAAAGAAAAATAGTAGTGTGTAACTAACAAAGAAAGGAAAGGAAACATAAGTTGCGATTATCACTGATGGATGGATGGATAGTATTTTTATTAATTTATTAATTTAGGTTAAGTTATTGTTTTTGGCTGGCATATCCAGGAAGTAATTGAGATTTGATTGTAGGTGACAAGGTTTGTGAACGAGGGACTGTTTGAGTCAAAAAATGATCTATCTACATTCAAGAACCACATAAGGGACTTCCTTGTGCAATCTAAAGAGTTTTCAGCACAGGTAACTAAACTAAAAACATATATAAATGGTCTGTTAAATAAATAAATAAAATAGTAATTGATTATTGATGGTGATTGGTGGCAGGATAACAAGGATCTATACGCAGAAGAAGCTGCAGCCCAGAAAGAAAGAGAAAGACAGCGGATGCTTAGCATTCCTGGATTAATTGCACCCAATGAAATAATACAAGATGAGATGCTTGATTCATAAATCAAATTTTATATTTTTCTTCTTGATTGTGATTATTATTTAGTAATGGAGAAGAGAGAGAGGGAGAGAGATTAGAAGAAGAAGGCGATTCTTGAAGCAAGCTTTTATTGTATGTGAGCCAGCCACAGTGAATCATGGTGAAGGCCCATCCAAGACAGACATTGGAAGAAATGATGATTTATGTAGAGAGTAATAGTAGGTGCTTTTAATGTAGGAAGGAAGGAATGTTTTATTTTGTTGATTGGTGTTTTGACATTGTAAGTAAGTAAACAAGGAAGAAAAGAGCAAGTATTTGATGAAGTGGGTGGGTGGGTGGGATGGGTGTTAAGTAGGTGCATGTAATATGTATAACATACAACCGGTGGTTGCTACTTGCTAGCAAGTTTTGAACAAAATTCTTTTTTATGTTTATGTTTATGTTTATGTTTATGGTGTGACTTCAGACTGAGTGTCTTTTTAATTTTGACCATCCAATTTGTTAAAGGTGTTCACATTGTTTCAAAATTTTTAAATCCATAGTTGAAGCTGGGAACATTTGCTCCACTCTTGTTATCTCAAACTACTTATGGCCTTCTTTGGTAAAGTGTCAACGATTATTACCCCTAATGTGTTAATACCAATGCAAAAACTATTAATACATATCAAGTAAGATATAAATCAACCAGCTAACACATAGTAGCATATAAATCAATCATTTAAAAGTATGTTGGTGGTTTTAAGGGAAATGCCTTAATCTACTAAGACCATGTTAAATTTTCACCTTGGTGATGTCGACAATTTAGGTGTATTCGATATGAAAAGATAAAAAATGAACTATAATAACTTTACTAATATAATTTGGCTGCACAAAAGAAAATAAATACACAAGCACTGATTTGTGTGAGAAGCTCTCAACCTCACAAAAACATCTGTTGTGGATTGGCAGTCTGACTCCACCTACTCATTTAAATTTCTGAAACAATGGTATTATGTGAAACTTTAACAAGTGAACAAAAAGAAAATTGCCTAGATGTGAATAAAACAAATAGTTCATTATCCTCTTGGGTATTATCTTTGCCATGTAAGCTGTAACTTGTTACAACTAGTCATAATGATTATACGTGAACACTTCCAATAAATTTATTGCTTATATGTGTAAAAAAAACCCAAATATAAACAAAACAAGAAGAATTACCCCCACAAGTCAACTTTCCTTATTATTATTTTGGCCCTCTAGGTCTAAATAGTTGGCCGGGTCGACTAGGAACTTCTTTGTGCCTAAGCGGGCAGGGCACTAGTCAACCGCCTAGGCCAATTTGCATGCAACAGCCAGCCATAATGATATAAAGTGGACAATTTTTATTAATTCTTTTGTTTAGGGAATGCTCAAAGAAAAATTGATGAGCATTATATGAAAATACAAATTGTTGGTTGTCTAATTTCAACTTTCAGCCTTGAGATTAGAAACACAAAATTCCATAGTATTTCAAATCATTTCCAAACCATATTACCAAGTACACACACACACACACACATATATATATATATATATATATATATATATATATATATATATATATATATATATATATATATATATATATATATCCAACACAAACACATTTATTGGAGCAATTTTACAATTAACCGCAGCAATGCAATGCAATGCAATGCAATGTATACATCAATCATCTCTAATGATACACTTAACAATGAAATGACATCATGAATATGTCAATGCTGACGTGGCAGGCATAGGCATCTCTTTTTGTGTGTGTGTCATTCAGCGACCGCAATAAAAGGAAGCCCCCTGCCAATAATAGAATTCAAAATAACATGATAAAACTAAGGGAATTCAAAAATCAAAGCTTTTAAATCCATCCATAAACAAAAACATTTACCAGCCTCCATGTCTTGAAAAATAGTCATTATCCAAAGACACAGCAAGTGCAACAGTCACCGCCCTCTCTGACAATGTCAATCGACGCGCCACATTAAATTCTCTAGCCTACAACAACAACAACAAACAATTAAAAAAACATCATCATCATCATCATCATCATCATCATCATCATAAGTAACTATTTAAGGACCTTTCCAGACAGGTGTGACGTGGCAGCACTTTCAAATCGGATGACATACTGACCAGCATCAGTCAACACCTCATAACCAAAACCTCTCCAGTCACGGTCAATCTCAGCCAACACCTCGCCATGAATCCCCTTTAAAGTAAATGTCCAGTGCCAAAAACCAGGATTCTCTACCACTGCAAACTGCTCATCACTGCATGCACAAAATACCAATTTCCCCTCCTCAACATACTTACTAATTACTAATTACTATAGGGAACCAAATACAAATAATTTACAAATGTACCCCAAGTACAGATCATAAACCCTCCTCCAAAGATGCCATCTTCTATGAACCACACCAATTTCCTGGAGACAAAAATTTAATAATTTTATATACTCAAAAAACATTTCAATTTCCAAAGAGAAAACCCATCATCCATACCTTTCCACCTACTTCTGCATAGATTGAGCTTGTTATCCACCAAAAGGGCCTTCTCACCTATATATAATAATAATAATAATAATAAAATTATACAAATAAATATAATTATATAAGCCCATGAGTCTTACCCTAAACAGCTCGTTACCAAATCCATCGGTTATAGTAGCAACAAAAGGTCTTCTAAGACGAAGCAACTGCCAATACAAAAATGCATCATCATATTCACCAAATATAACATATAATACAACTAAATAATAATAATATATACCTGTCTCATAATCACATTGCTCTCCTCACGAATAAAACCTGCTGGCTGAAAGGAAAAAAAAAAAAAAAAAATCTTATCTTAATCCCTTTTATTTTATATAACATCAACATTTAAAGACAAAATGGATTTTGGAAAAAATACCTCATGTGGGTTGCTCACATCAACTATTGCATATCTGTTTGCCTAAGAAATGTATCAACATTCATAAAATAACACAACCATTATTTTTTTTTTTTAAAACATAGAAATCATTATTAATACTAAGTAATGATTGTTTCAATTACCTGTTCAAAGCCAAGTGTAAGGTTGGCCCACTCTATGTCCCTTGTAATGAGCAGATTAGATCTTGAAAGAAGAGGTGCAATCCAAGCCTGGAAGATTAAGAATCAATAGAATGAATGTATCATTTTTATTTCTGTCTTTAACTCTTAATCTTACTAAGGAAGTAATTTCTATTTTCTAGATAAAAATTAAAACCTTAACTCACCTCCTCAGGGGATGAAGATTCTAGAGGCTCTGTGGATAATTGTTTAGAAGCATAAGGTTCACCATCCCCAGTTAAAGACCTGCCATGGAAACCTTTAGTGCCAAAAACTCTTTCTTCTTTAACAGCACTCTCAATAAACTTTTGCTTTCTTTTTTCATGTGTCTTTTTCATTTTAGCATCTGCAACCCACAGCTTTACTAGAAAATCTCTACTCAAGTTACTTCCATTGTGTATTGCTCTAGAACCATAGTACCCTTTGCCCAAACCAGCTTCCTTCAATACTGGTATCTTATCAGCAACAAGAACATCATTTTGTTGCTTCTTCACTATAGCTCTAATGACTTTTGGCTGAGTCACACGCTGCAATTTTTTTATCCAAATCATTGTCAACCAAGTTCTGACAACTTAACCCTTGTCTTACTCCATTGACTTCTGTTTGAAAGCAAAAAGTTGTAGTTAGAACATGAGAAATCATATTCATTGCACACAGATACATAACCTATACAGACAGGTATACATTCTCTAAAGAGCTAGTTTTAAGGAGGTTTACACAACCAGATCAAAGGAAGAGATACATCATTAAACAAATTAACAAAGGGCTTACAAGTATGGCGTATTGGGATCATCCAGGGATCTGTTTGTAAAATTTTCAGACATTCAGTGACTGGAATTATATACATGTAGGTCTGAGTGACTGTGTGTATGCATAGAGAATATTGGTCTTCAATTCTAGAAGCAATCACAGACTCACAGGCAGTGATGAATTCATAGGAAATGAAAGGCTTTTGACAGTTATACAATTTTATTGTGTTCTCGAAAGGAAAGGGAAGGAAAATTATGTTCTCAAGTAGAAAGGAAAGGAAAGGGAAGGAAAATTATGTTCTCAAGTAGAAAGGAAAGGAAAGGAAAATGACAATTTTACAATTTTGCCCATCATTTGTTATGATATGGAAAAATCAATAGCTATCTTCTTCCAAATTTGTATCACATATCCACTGTTTAAACAGACGTTTACTTAAATATTAATGTGAAATTCACATTGTAATATCTAAATTGAAAGATGAACTCCATTGTTGAGGCTGAGAAGCTACAAGTACCAGTTATTAAACAGAAATGAAAAGTTCTTAAAATGTTTTACGGATCTAAATCTGGAACTAGAGTTCAATGAAAATGATTGTTTGAAACAATCATTTTCATTTTTCATTTTAATTATCTGAATCATTTCAAACAAAAAGATTGCTTGATAAAACTGATAATAAACATTAGATGAGAAGAGGATAGTTCTCATTTTTCCCTAAACATTTTGTAGTGGCTAATTCCTAAAGGATTCACCAAGCCATTTTCAAGGATTTGTTATAATTCTATGTCTATTATAAGCAACTACATATAGATGCACTAAATGGAAGAAGTTCTGACTTCCCTTGTTAAGTAAAGCTCAATTGATTTGTCAAACTTAATCATCCACACATACTCAAACATGAGGATCAATCTGAGTTTTTGTCTAAATCATTGAGGAATTTTATCAAACAGTTGGTGCACATAAAAAATCACTACAAAAAGTTGAAACCAGAACAAATACTAAAAAGGCAACAACCAGTTATCCATTAAAAAACAAAATCCTTGTCCTACACTTCATCTTCACTACCAGCGGAGACGCAACAAGTACATAAGAATCATACAAAACACAAAAAGAAGCAGCAATACTAAACGGAGGTCATAGAAAACGCAATACCAGCAGAGAAGAGAAATCGATGAATAAGCTCCGTGGAGGAATTGAAACACAATTTCTTGAATACTCGACCTCAATTGCTCCTGGGCTTCTCTAAAGCGTTTCTTGATAGTCGACGCTCGATGATGTCTTGATCGATGGTAGCAAATTGAAGAAATGTGTATTTGAGCTGTTAATTGACGGTAATCCCTTTATTTAACGGGATACCAAATTACCAATACCAATACATCACTTCTCGTCTTTTTCCTTTGCCCTTTTAAACAATTTGACTATCTATTAAGTTTGAAACATCGTCGCATTTGAAACATACCTGACAAAACGAAATGCGAACTACCGTGCACACTTATATATAATGCGATTTTGATCCCGAAACTATGGGGTCAACGAGGTCGCCCTTTACGGGTCCAAGGGTGGAAACCCTGACGGTGAACTAGACCGATCAAGGTGTGGGGTCCATGAGGCAGAACCCATGGAGAAAGACTCTTTTACCTATCTACCGTGCCCCGTGGGGGTTGGGGCATTGCTCATGAACTTATATGAAATTTTAGAGTTGGAATGGAATGGAAAAACATGTTCCAAAGTGGCAAAAGTTGTGGAGTCACCTACTCTGCGGGTGTATACGTAACATATTTGGGTTATGCTTAAATTGATTTAGGATTACTGAGTGTAAAATGTTGATCGCCAGATTGGGTCTACTAAGTGTAGATGGTTGATCTGTAGACTTGGAGTTAGCGAATCCAACTCTTTTAAAAAATATGAAATTAGTTGTAGCTTCTAGATATCCGTTAATAACTTCCAAAAAACGTATTTTGTTAATATTATGCACTTTGAGAGTATAAATAGAAGAGATACTCTATATTTTTGGGTCTCTCTCATGGGAACACTCCATATACTCTCACTGTAATCTTGCTTTCCTTTTGTGCCTAAATCGGAAGTGTATTTGATTGATTTCTTATACTCCCTCCGTCCCAAAATTATAGTCCATATTTCCTTTTTGGTTTGTCCCAAAATAATAGTCAACTTCTCAAAATAAATAACATTTTTACCAAAATACCCCTCATCATTACTTAACTAACTAAGCATTTAATGGAACATTAAATGTAAAGTAAGGACAAAACTGTCATTTTATTGTATAAAGTTAGCTTCCTTAATTTGTGTGTTTTTTGTATGTGAACAATAATTTTGGGACGGAGAGAGTATTTAATTTCGTCTAACCCACACAATTAGGGTCGAAATATTAATCACGAAAAATGAACACACACGGTCTATGAAAAATCCAAATTTTAATTACCAATTTAATCCTGTTTTTATACCCAATTTCTAACACGCTTGAGCTGGGGAAAGTAACTTTAATTGACAATTAGAAGCTTCCCACTAATGAAGATGAATTCATGAAGAAAAACAAAAAAGTTGGTTGACGAAATTAGGAACCTATATGAGTTTAATATGACGAGACCTAGATGGCCACATAAGCACTCACAAATTTCAGTTTATTATCTTCTTAGCTGTACAATCGTTTGTAAGGATGCAACCTGCAAATACCCACAAAATAAAAGCATCTTCATTATTTGTGGTGTATTACAAAAATGCAAAAAATTTGGGCAAAATATGAGGACCTTTCAAATGTTAATCATGCTCATGTATGTTCCTTTTTTCCATTATACTTCAATGAGATGAGCTTAGCATTGGTACATGTCTTATATCTCTCATTCTAAGCGAAGTACTATTGAACATATTCAAGGAACATATTGTCATTTTCACCATCGATAGAGCCTTGAATTTTTTGTGTAATTGAATGTCTCATAACCATTAAGGAGATACGGTTGGATCAATCCCATTTTTTGATTTGTTGCCATATCGTTGACACATCTTCCATTAAATACCTATATAACTTTACTTTTAACACTCACAATCCATTAAACACCCCTTCAATCCTAATCACCATTTATTATTCATATTGAACCATTCATTGATCATTCAACCCCACTCCATATCATCACCCATACTCCATTCAACTCTTATTCAATTCTAATCATCACCTTATTCACCTATCATACTACTTGCATTGTGGATGCTCTAATTCCATGTAAAGTATAACAAGTTCTTTGTTTTCATAGTCTTTCACAAAAAAAAACCTATAAATGCTATTGTGAACGTAATGATCAAATAGTGATCAAAGAACAATCTTATTTAGATCAATTGTTGTCCACATGAAAAATTAATTTATATTTATCTTGTAGACACACATTGTAACGTCCCATTTCCACAACCAAAATTTGTCATTTTAAATAAGGTGAAATCGCCATTCACATAAAACCCAAGTTATGAAAACTGTTGACGTATGGTCCATTAGCATGACCCAGACATCAAGACCTGGCACGCCAGCCTTGCCTAACGCTCGCCTGTTGGACTTGTCTAGCTCTCGCGCTCGATGCTCGCCTAGCGCCCGGGCGGTCTTTCCCAGCTCCTTGCTAGCTGGGCCTAAGTTGGGTTGACCCAAGGCCTGACCTAACTCTCCCTTAACCTAATTGTACCACATAAATAGAACGCTTCCTCCTCTATGAGGAGGTAGTCCCTAACGATCTAAAAACCCTAGAGCTTCTAGCCACTTTCTCTAACCTAGAGCCTCCATGGCCAAACTCTCACCCAACACACCAAAATGGTTATCTCCAGCTAGGAAGAAACATCACATCTCTACTAACCGATCTAACTTAATCATCAGAGCTTGCTCTCGGGGCACAGACCCTGGGGAAACTCTGATGACTTTGTTGTGATGACAACTTAGGTATCTCGCCGGAAACTCGCTGACAGCACCATCCCCAGATCTTTGATCCAGATCCAACACAGAAGACCCGACGACCTGAGCACATGTCGCAACATTTGGCGTCGTCCGTGGGACCAAGAGAGAATAGCTACCGCCTATTGGTCTCAACCTCAGTTTCGCCTCCAATCTGTTCAGATTTGTTGTTCTTCGCCTCAGGTTTGCTCAGATCTGTTCATTTCTATCAATATCTGTTCAGACCCGTTCAGCTCTCACCAAGATCTGTCCAGATTCAGTCCCCAAAACTTCATATCTCTAGATCTGCTTCGTGCTTTCTCTCAGATCTCTAGATTTACTTCGTTTTTGCCCATATCTCTAAGATCTGCTTCATTATTTTCGCTCAGATCTCTAGATCTGTTCTGTTCTTGTTCATCTGAACATTTCTGAAGCTTGCAAAAACATTTTCAGATCAATTTTCGCCATATTTTGGTGACTTATTCAGAAAGTTGAGGAGAGAAGAATTTTTTTTACTTCTTTTATTTGTTCATTTTCATGATTTATTCAACAAGATAAGGAGAAAATAAGTTTCTATCAGTTCTTATCTTATTATCAGCTCATATTATAAAGAAAATCCCTTTTAGTTGATGATTTTCTGCACAATCTCATTCTTTGAAGTTGTTGCTTGTACACATAGTTGTACAAATCGTGTAAAAAGATACACTTCTTGGTGTACTAGTGCTCCATTTGAGCCGACAACAAAAAAGGAAAAAAAGAACACAACATATCTTGAAAATTACACCTCACAGCTCACACTTGTACAATTTATACATAAAAAAATACAAGAAAAGTACAATGTTTATTCTCATGTCTCTTTTTAATTGACACGAGAAGAAAAAGATGTTGGATTAGATGTCTAAGCCCATAACTATTATTGATATGTACTCGACCCGAGAGTAGCATGGTCCATTTGGGTTGCATAACATCAGGACAATTTGTTAGGATGGACTTTTGAGAAGAGGTTATATATGATTTATTAATATATTATAAGTTCTAATATATTAATATGAAATCATATGATTTAATTAGTATTGATTAAGAATTAGTTTGGAACTAATTTAGTGATCAAAAGAGACTAATTAAATCAATGGGGACTAATTGTGTAAATTAGTTATATTTATATGTGTTGGGCCATTGATCCATGTTGGACTAAGTTTATGTATGGATACATAAAGAGTTGTGCCACATGAACCATGGATCATAAATCCATGGGTATGGGTTAGGGTTAACCCATGACCTTTGGAATCCCACATATAAATATGTTACCCCATAGCCAAAATCACCACTTATGTTCTTGGAGTTCATATGGACGGTTTTGGGGTATGAAGATTCTCTCTCAAATGTCATCCTTTGTCCTAGATGTGTTGTGATTCCATTTGAGGCATCCACACTATTGATGTTAAGTTCTTAAAGGCCGAATACATCAAGGATAGCAAGCTACATAAAGAGGTAAACTCCTAACTAGTATTTTATGTTGTTTATATCATTTGTATGCTAGTTGTAGGCTTAAGGCTTTGGAAACAATATTGCATGTATAATTAGAGAAAACATAGATCCAAAGCTTTTAGGGTTGTATGTGCACCATAGGATGTTGTAGTATACTAAAACCCAACAAAAGAATACAGGTGGACCCCCTTATATTTACATACAAGGCATATACAAGCATATGGGCCCCACATGTTGAAAAGTTAGAGTAAAAGGACAAAAGATCCTAAGGTCGGCCCTACCTGGTCAACCCTCTCTTCAGAAAATCGGGGACTCTCCAAATCGGATCCTTTCATAGGACTACAACAACTAGTCATCTCTGGCTAAGAAGCAACCCTCGCCAACGCAACCACTAGTCATCTCCGGCTAACCAACGATGGCTCTGACGGAATAGTTCTAGCAGCAATCGCCTCCTCTAAGCATCGCCAGTCACTACTAACTCCGCTGAAGAGCCTCCGGCCGCGTTCGCCGCTATCTGCTTCCTCGCTTCTTCGCCGATGAACAAACCCAAAGCAGCACCGGTTGACTGCTTCCTCCGACCAAAACACCCAACAACAACGGCTCCAACGTCGAGTGTTAACGCCCTACCAGACCACTCTTGGACCACAGGTAGCAACTAACACGTCGCCGGTGAAATCGCACCTCCGATCGTTAGCTACAGATGACAAATTCCAACTGGGAACCACCTCTAAACGGCGACGCATCAGAACAGCTACTCCATCGGCGAAATGTTGCTCCGATTCTCCCTTGCTGCCGACGAACTCCGACACCCACCTTTAGTCGCCAGTTTTTTCTTTCTTTGGCGTCAGATAGTGAGAACGAAGTGGGAGATGCGTCTGGGCACCCGATTATTTTCATCCATTTATGAAAAGCATAGTGGACCCCATGTGGTGCCCTAAAAACTCTTGCAACTCGTTCAAAAAAGAAAAAAAATTGGGTCAAACTAGCAAATGGGCTGAATAATCTCCTCCTTGGGCCTATAACTCGAAAATGGGCTCCAACAAGGCTTATACATTTTATTTGGGCAATCCTAACTACACAAAATGGGCTCTCAGCACATATGAGCTGTCATTCCTTAACTTGGGCTACTATTAAATCACATTTTTAATGAGCTAGCTCATCAACAAAAAATGGGCCATATTGCAAGACGAGCGACGACATGGATCTGAGTGGGCTCGTCCCTCCTCCGCCGGACGCCATAGGTCCCTTTCCCGTCATCGTCGTTGCCTAGAGTCGTATCAAGGTTGTGTAGCTCTGAGTACACGCCCGGATGGGCCAAATGTTGTGATAAGTGCTCCAGACTTAACACCGTCACTTGATGGTTCTGGTTGGGTTGAGCCCTGTAATCACAACAATGAAGAGAGACGTCAGTCGACGTCCGGGAGGTGGCCCTGAGACAAAGCCGAATTAAAGGCTATTAATAATAGATTTCGGTTTTGATTTATCAATTAATTATGCTATTTAATTGGCTGTTACGTTTTGATGTTTAATGACATCAATGATGATTTACAGTATAAATAAAGTCCCTATGACTGTTTAGTTTACACCGAATGAAACGAAATCATTCTCTTCGTCTCTTATGATTATGTTCATTCTTTCATCTCTTGCTACAACCAAAGTAATTTCCAGGCCAAGTGAGAGTTCGAGTGACCTAGAAGAGTCAATTACTATTGTTGTATCCTGAGAAACAAACATCCATATAGAACGAATTTGTTTTAAGAAAATTGTGTCATACACATGCCTCAGTAATTATTTCAGATTTTTGTTCTTTCGGGCATTTTGGGTTATACTTTTCCTAATACATTATTGATATAAATGAGAAGCCAAACAATTATTCTTAATATCTTTTACAATCAAATCTTAATATTTGAATTTTAAAACCTTAACTTTTAGCTCCAAAAGGATTTTAAGATTAAAGATACATAATAACAATGTATTTTAAGCCCATTTCAATTTTCAATTACAAACATTACATTTTCTTTTGGTATGATATAGTTGAATCGTAAATGGTAATCATAAGAACAAAGTTATGATGGAAGAATGAATGTCGGTTACTGAAGGCCATAAACAAGTAATGCCCCAACTCCAGCAAGACCAGCAACAAGTCCAATGATCACACCGATCGGAGGCAGCGTCCCACCAATTGGTTTTCCGGTGACTGGATCGTACCCTGTGAACCTCTTCTTGGGTGCTCTACATTGTGGGCACAAGTACCCATCCGGCTGCAAATTTCCATACCAAAATCACCGTCTTTTTTGTCAATTAAACCTAAAATTTATGATTCAGATATGTATAAATGCAAAAGTTGAGAGCTTGCCTGCTCCTCGAAAGGCTTCGATAACGTGTATATGAATCCACAGTCCAGACAAATATGCGTCGCTCGTGCCTTTTGGGCATCTGTTAGCTTGCGTCCGAATCGAGGAGGAGCAGGTCGTTTTGGTAGTCGTTTGACATCTACATCAGCCCCCCTGAATCAAAATCACTCATCGTTTATGGTTGTTGCTTCAATCAAATTTGATTTCAGCAACGATTGAAGCGATTAAGAGAGAGAACCTGCTAACGACAAAGTAAACAGAATCCGGCACCGCCTGAATGGCGGTTTTGGTGAAGCCAAGCTTATCAGCAGGCCAAAGTTCATCGCCGAAGAAGCTGCTTGTGTATATGACTTGATCCCCAACCTTCAACCCTGCTTTTGCAGCATTCCCGCCTCCTTCCACACCCTGAACTCGAAAATCACATTGATTGAGAATCGGAGAAAGAAAAAAGGTAAACGAAATTAATTACAGAGATGTGGAGAGAACCGACGTACGGTGATAACAACGCCACCACCAGCACCAGGTTTAGGACCCAAAGTGAGGCCTAAAGGCTTGTCGACTTCAACTTCGATCTCCTTTGAAGCACCTGCGGTTTTTCTGGCTTTGATATCTAAACCTCTTCCTCCTTTTACAGACACGATGGTCTTGTCGCTGGTTCCCAAGAAGGAAGTGGAGACGCCCCTTTTGGCATCTTGAATGGACAACCCTTGAAATGTTGTTTTCTGTTCCTCAAAAATAGGGTGAAATCATTAATCAACACCTAATTTTTTTTCACCATTATTAATGGAATAGATTGAAGACGAACCTGAGGAGGTGATGCTAATGGATATGAAGTAGTAGTTTTGATGGAGTGGGCGTTTCTTGTTGCGAAGGCTCCACCTGCACCTATGGCGGTTGTCGTCGACATTTTCTTCTTGTGACTGGCACAAGACAGAATCGAGAAACAGGTGGTGGCTGGCTGTTTTGTTGTTGATAAGGGAAAATAGAAGCAGTTGATGTAGTTGTGTGGACGTGATAGGCCTCCATCGCCACCGGATAACTTACACTCGTTGCCACACGCTCTGAATCCTTCCCAATTGACTTTTTTATTTTTATAGTATTCGATTGCGAGTTTTTTTTTTTTTTTTTTTTTTTTGTGTGTGTGTGTCAATTCCATGGCATATGTGAACATGTAGATTCCAACGTTTAGTATATTTGGAAAATTACAATTGAACATGTATAAAGAAATGTTTATTTAGTTTAAGTTAACCAAATACACAAATGAACACCAAACAATAAATAACCGATTTTTTTTTTTATGTTCATTCGATTAACAATTATATTGTTAGTTTATGTTCGTTAAGTGTGACAACCCTGCATGGGCCTATTTGAAATGATCTTTAATAAAATCTTTTAAAATAATTTCAGAATTTTAGTTTGTGGAAAAATGATCTCAAGGTTTAATTCAGAATATTTTATAGATTTCAACGAGGATAACAGTTCCAATTAAAAAAAATAAATTTTCAAATATTTAATGGTTTAATAAAAACATTTCTTGTGAGATTGTCACAACAAATATCAAAACAAGGTTTAAGAACAACATTAAAAACCAAAGGTCTTCTAAATATTCATAGTTTATGAGTAACCTAAGCTTTTGACAATGTATACTAACCTGCAAAATAATTATCATCAAATGAGTTAGGCTACGGGGAACCTACTGAGTATGATCCCAAGGTTAGACATTATGGACAGTGTATTAATAAAAACTTTTGTTCATACATCAATGCACAACTCGTACCTTCTAAAAACAACAAAATCCATAATTATCAATTCGGATAAAAAATATATTTTGTCCGTCTCATATTAATAGTCCATGTGTCCTTTTTGGTTTGTCCCAAAACAATAGCCCACTTCTAACAATAAATATCCCTTTTACTAAAATATCCCTCATTATTAGGTAACTTACCATGGAATTGAGTGCAAAAAAAAGGTAAAACTGTCATTTCATTTAATAAAGTTAGTGACAATTAATGTTTCATTAATCTGTGTGTTTTTTGTCTGTGGACAATAATTTTGGAACGGAGGGGGTATCTTTTAACAAAGTACATTATTATTTATGATAATTTCCATACAAACTTCACTGTCAAATAAACCATACCAAGCGAGTATACTTGAGTAGTACATTTCAATAATCAAAATCCAAAATGGAAGTAGTTAAAAAAATAATACTCATGTGAGCTAAATCAAAATAAAAAGCCAGTTTACTAAATGCAATGCTTCCCAAACATCCAAGATGCATATCTACTGACTCGGGTTCAAAATCAAAACATGACAGAAGGGTTTCATATACCCATAAGATTTTCTTAAACATTTAAATTTCCAAAAGAGACAAGTAAGCTCCACAATATACATAGGGGTAAAAACAAGATCAATGATAATAGGTAAGATGCAATGCATGTAACTACTCCCAACCCTTTGTTAATCTCAAAGTCCAGCTCACAACAAAAGTCAGATGTGAAGAACTCATGACATACAACCAACTTTTCTATTTATATCTGACAACAAAATAATGATGGTGGGGTGTGAAGAACGCACGACAGAAGAAATTGTCGAGTCGCCCTTATACCCACAAACAAGGCACTATGGGTCATCCAACCTAGGCTACACAAGGGGCAACGATTCTCTACTCGTGCACGTGAGGATTATCTAGAAATATACTCACAATGAAATAACAAGCAACAAACAACTGCCCATTGAGTACTCAGGACCACAAAGTCACACCCATCCAAACATGATATGCATGTATGCAGCAAATAGGATGCCAAAAACTCTTTTCTCAAAATATAATTTCATGAATGCACAAATAATCCTCATACGGGCAACTAGTAATCAAATATATGTTAGATACTTTCAAAACACAAAACAAATAATAAAAGATGTATATTCCTGGGGGTTCTAAAACAGAAAGTCAAGAATATATAAATTCTTACTGTCAAAAAATAAGGTAAAGCCCCTCAATGCAAACCATTTTCAAAACATGCTCTTTATTTAATTAAGTTCGTCCCCGGATTATAAAATATAGTATCAAGTAAAAGAGAACACTTAAGATCTACATAGAGCTGAAATCATATTTGTATACATACTTTTACTTCAAATAATGGGAAACACATATAACATAATCATATAATGGTGACAGTGTTCTAAGGTAAAAGTACACACCTTAAGTCCTAAGCTTGCAACACCAAGCTCCTTCTTCAGTTGAACTATGTCACTTTAAGCTCCAAACTTCCCAAATTAATCACCCAATATCATTACAAGGTATCAAAAGACTATAATACCCTTCTATGGGTCACTTAACATTCTAAACTCAAAATACACCAAAATGTTCTAATGTGGATCATAGAAGCAAAAAAGGAACATAATGAACGAACCAGACCTGATGCACAAGCACGACACAATACTGAAAATAAGGCATGACAGTAACCGCGCCATAACCAGCTATGGTCTACGCCGCGGGAACTGCAGTAGATGCAAAATTTTGGTTTTTATTTCTCATTTAGCCAACCAACTTTCAATAAAACTTCAAAACGAATTTAATGATTCCAAAAACTTAAGATACATGTTTAAATACTTTTAAATGACATGGGAAAGGATCCACAATTGGTTCATATCCTTAGAATAACCTTATAATGCGTAGCCTTTTTATAAAAATCATTTTTTAAGGTCAAAGAACATCAAGACTCTAAAGTTGAAGCAATCATTTCAAAAGAATATTTGTTTGATTCCACGCTTACAATAAACACTCGAGAACCATCTCATAAAGGAATAAGGATGTTATGAAACATAATCCAACACCAAATTCCAATGAAAGACATGAGTTTTTAGCTTTTAATGCATGTTTTTTTTATAAGTTTTAAGTTGTGAATGTATGATTTTTTATACAGATTTGACTGCTTTAATGAAAAACATAAATTTAAACTGTGAATGTTGTGAATACATATTCTTTTTTTGTAAGTTTATATTTTATTATGTTAGTATTTTTGCAAATAATGTTAATTTAGGTTATTTGAATTATGAATTGTAATGTTTTAATGTTTCATTTATTGTTTCATGTTAGTTTTAACTGTTATTAATAAGAAAATATATGTTTTAAATTGTGAATACATGATTTTTTATAAGTTTTAAGCTGTGAATACATGATTTTTATACATATCTAATTTTTTCAGTGAAATACATAAGTTTTAAGTTGTGAATGCATTAGAATTTTATAAGTTTTAAGCTGTTAATGCATGATTTTTTTTACACATATTTGATTGCTTCAATAAAAAAACATAAGTTTTAAGCTGTGAATGCATGATTAATTGTGATTTTATATAATTTTGAATAAATTATGTAAAATTTAAACTTACGTATTTGTGTAAATAAATTTGAAAGAAACACTAGCCTATATATCTGAAGGTATAAATATAAGTTTTAAGTTGAGAATATGATAGGGAATGTATAATTTTTGTGCATTAAACTGTGAATTATTATATTAAGCTGTGAATTTTGTGTACTAAACAGTGAGTTGATTGTATTAAGTTGTGAATTGACTGTATTACGCTATGAATTTTTTATGAATATTTTGTTAAAATATGAATGATTTATGTATGAATTTTTGTATTAATATTTTTGTGAATATATTTATTTTTTGTGTTGTATAAATATGTAAGAATGTATTAATTTTTATAATTATTTTGCGTTAAACTTTGAATAAGTGAACCAATTAGTTTATTAAATTATAAATATAGTATTTAAGCCATCAATCAATGATTTTATATACATATATGATTTTAAGTGAAGGATGGTTGCGACGGTGGCACAGGTGGTTGGTGGTAGCGTATGGTAGTAGTTGGTGGTGGTAGAGTTTGGGTTAACTTCTTTGAATATGTGAATTAGTGTATAATGGATTGTATTATTGTAACACCCATTTTCCATGATTGACTGGTTGAAGGCTTGAGGGATTAAAAGTGGGGTTTTTATGAAAAACTGTAACATCCCAAATATACTAGTAAAAATTTTCATCTTCAACCACCAAAAACCATACAATCATTTGTTCAAAAGCCAAACAATGTTTAAATGTATTCCCAAATATCATAGTAAATCAAAACGAATAATGCGTAAATAAACTCCAGGGGATGCAGTGCGATCACGTCGGGACCTTCCCTTTGGAACCAAAAGTACCTGAAACGTTTAAACCACAAAACTGTAAGCACAAAGATTAGTGAGTACCCCAAAATACCACATAAACATACATAACATCAGGCCCTACCCAACATACAAATGGGCCCCGCCCATCATATAAACGGGCCCCGCCTAACATATAATGCAAGAGTCACAAAGACACGTAACATCATACAAAGTATAACGAGAAGACTCACCTCTCTCACGAAGTCAGACAACCACAAATCAACGCCATTGAAAATGTGCTACAACCCACCTATCAAAGCATACAAGGTCACACCTCAGTTTACACTATAGAACTAGCAATTGACCAAAAGTCAACAGTCAAAGTCAATATCAACTGACTTTCACATCATGATTAATCCATGGTCACGTCATGGAGAACGAGCTTAGGATCGATCATGATCTCGGTCACAATCCAACTCAGTCACGATCAAATACACTATCATGTCGTGATAGAGCCCGTCCAAAATAGTCGATAAGCCCTTATCGTCATGTCGTGACATCCATATGGTCATGTCGTGACATCCCGGGATGATACCAAATCTCAGAGTCATAATCCTTCACCATGTCTAACCATCTGCGTTGCCTCATACTCAGGTTCGGCTGATACATCAGATACCTCAGACTCTTGTGATCCGTATAAATAGTACACCTGACCCCATACAAATAATGTCACCAAATCTTAAGGGGAAAAACCATAGCCAGATCCAGATCATGAGTATGGTTATTTACCTTGAGAGGCTTCAACTGCCTCGATGCATAAGCAATCACATGATCCCTCTGCATAAGCACTGCACCCAATCCCAAAATCGATGCATCGTAATAAACCACAAATTCGTCCATACCC